TCACCAATATTGCCAGTGTTCTTCCTGCAGCTGAACTTTTCCCTATTATCTTCCCTATTATCTTGCCCATTCACCCATTGCCTTGTTCTGCACTGTGTCTCTGAGTTGATGCGGCCATTTTTTTTAGAGGCAGGGCTTTGCTTCCTCATGTTGGAGCCACCAACAAGAACAGTGAGCAGCGCAGTAGGGACATCATCAAATCTAACTAGTAGTCTGAGCCAGCGGTGCCCGCTCACTGTTTAGGTCCACTTTAACCGCTTGAAGACCAGGTGTTTAGACCCCCTTCCTGGCCAGGCCATTTTTCAGTATTCAGCGCTGCGGTACTTTGACATTGATTCTGTTATGCAACGCTGTACTGAAATTAATTTTATACCATTTTTTGGGGACAGAGCTTTATTTTGGTGGTATTTAATCACCACTAGGGGTTTTTATTTTTTACTATATTCAGGAGAAATTACAGAAAATTTTGAGAAAAAAGTTTTTTTTTTTTTTTACTTTGTTATAAAACAAATAATATTACCCATCGTTTTTTGGTAAAATATAAAAGAAATGGGGTCACGTCGGGTAAATAGACACCAAACATGTCAAGCTTAAAAATTGCAAAAATCACAAAAAACTAGCATACCTAAAATTGGCCATAGGCGACGCTTTAAAAGCTTTTACAGCTCATCAGTTTAGTGTTATCAGTGATTGATGGCCCTAGAATTATTGATCTCACTGCGACGTTCGCGGCAATATGTAAAATGTGCGGCGTAAAGGGCGCAATCGTCGTTTTCGCAGGTAAGCGCACCTGACACGTTTACATGGGTGTATGTAGGGGTGGGTACTTTTAAAAAAAAAAAAAATTTTAAATTCTTTTTTATGTGTAACTTTAACATTTTGGGGGGGGAAACTTTTTTAATTTTATTTCCACTTTATTGCTATCACAGAGGGGGCTAAGAAACCCCTATATGTGATAGCAACAGAAGTGACAGGTCCTCTTTATGGAGACATCAGGGGTCTCCAAGACCCCTAATGTCACCAAGGACCCCCCTGAAGAAGCTGAGATCTGCTTTATCAGCTTCTCTCCAGCATCTGAAGCTGGAGAGTGACACGAGAATGCGGAAGTGATGTAATATACAACACTTCCGCATTCCGACACCGGAGAGGGTACCGGAGGGAGCTCGTGTACCGACCTCCCTCTAATCCCCTGTCAGAGTGGCACTATGCTGGTCCCAGGCTCGCACCGGGCACAGCGGAGCCCGGGACCAGCGTGGGAGTGGGGGGTGGGCGCACATACCGGGACCCCATACAAGCGAGCTGGCCGATCGCTTGTATGTTAACAGGCATCGCTGCCGTTTTTTAAAATATTAATCTTTCTCGCACGCGCCGTGCGGTGCGCACGAGTGGGCGGGACTAACAGGACGTGTATACACGCCCAGTTACATCCAAGAAGCTCCCGGCCGGCCGTTGTGTATACATGTAGTTAAATGGCAGAGGGTACAGTTTAGCTTTGGTATAGAATAAGATGAGGTATGTGATTTTGTCTGGGGTT